GAGTCTCCACAGGTGCCAGGTACTCTCTTTCCTTTGGGCAGGGTGGGTGGGTGGGAGTTTTCTGTGATGTTTCTGGAGGAGACTTGCACTGATTCAGCTGTCAAAGGGGATGAGGAGTACTTCAGCCATTTCACCAAGCTCTCAGGTGGGGTGGCAACCCTATTTTCCCCACACCTATTGTCCAAGATACTGGGGCTTGCTAAGGTCATACTGGGACACCTTCTGCACCTCCAGGTCTGTGTGGAGGGGCTGATTCTCAAGCTGGTTAACATCTATGCCCTGTTACTGGGCCTGGCGGTGCAGCAGGCATGAGTTCCTAGTTCTAGGTGGGGACTTCAACACCACCCTGAACCACAGGACCACCTTGGGAGACAGAAATGAACATTCTCAGGAACACCACTGACTACAACTCTCTGGTGGATATCTGGTGCAACCACCACCTGGATGACTACACTATCATCGCTTATGTCCAGATGGAGAACACTTGGTCATGCCCCTCAGAGTTGGACCTAATTTATATTTCCTGATTTAACATCTTGCAGGAGAACTCTCCCAGCATTAGGCTGGCCCCATTCTCGCACCACCACCTGGGGCCATGACAGCCTCAATGACATCTGAGAGGCTGGAGCTGGCCTACAGGCATTTCAATAACAGTCTGTTTGAGGATGTGTGCTTTGTAGCATCATTCCAGGAGTTCTGGCTGGCCTGGCAAAGGCAGAAGCAGAGGCACATCTTTGCCTTGGCACAGAGGTGGTGGGACTTGTCCCTCTGCAGAGAATGTCAGGAGAAGTGGGATGAACTTTGGGCCTTCAATGACCATCTGGCCCTTGGGCCTTTCATTTGATCCTGCATCCAGCTTCTTTGGAAGATGGATTGTGGCTCCCACTTCTTCTACACCTGGAGAAAAAGAGAGGGCCAAAAAGCACATCACTTGCCTCCTGGCAGAGGACAGTATCCCTCTCATGGACCCAGTGGAGATGTGGGGAAAGGTTAGGGCCTTCTATGCCAGCCTCTTCTCCCCGGATCCGACTGATGCCAACACCTGTGGGGTCTTGTGGGACAAACTCCTTATGGTCAGTGTAGGTGACTGGGACTGGCTAGAGCACCCTCTCACTCTGGCTGAGTTCTTGGAAGCCCTCCATCTGATATCCACCAACAACTCTCCAGGCATTAACGTGCTGACCATGGAGTTCTACCACTAGTTCTGAGACATTCCTGTCTGGACCTCTTCACCATCTGGGCCAAGTCCTTAGGTATCAGGGAGCTCCCCATGTCGTCGTGGCGGGCTGTGTTTGAACTGCCGCCTAAGAAGGGTTACCTTCATGACCTAAGGAAATGGCATCTTAGTCTGGTGTCTCACTCCTCAACTCCTCAACACAGACTACAAGGTCATAGCGAAAGCCATCTTGCTGGGGCTGGGGTCTGTGCTAGATATGGCACACCAAAATCAGACCTACATCATCGTGGGCAGGACCATCTTTGATAACCATGAGAAACCATGTAGGGCCAGTCTGTGCTCTACTCTGGTTCCACAGCCCACTAGGCATATTAGTTGGCAGCTCCTCCATGGAGCCATGAGTAGTTGATAAACTCCTCTGACACCTGTTCCTATTGCAGTGAGAGGGAGAGATTAGTACTAATCTATGTAGTGTGCGTCAGTTTGCAGCCCCTCTTCTGGCTCCTCCCATTTACTGAGTTTCTGGCTGCACTTTTCCCTGCACGTCCTGATTCATGCACATCCCATCTGTGTGACAAAGTCACAGGACTGCCTCGTTAACCTTCCCCTGGCACTGGCCAAGAGGGCCATCCATCATAGCAGGAGGAAGCCGAACAGAGGGATACTTTGCAACTGTGGGGCCTATTTCCGGTCCCTCCTCTAATCATATCTCTGGGCAGAGTTCCTTTGGGCAATGTCCACTGACTCTTTGGATGCCTTTGATAAGTGGTGAGTTCAGTCTGGGGTTTTCTGCTCAATTTCCCCCTCTGGCTTCCTCATATTTACCTTTTTACCTCACTACCATTCCTGTTTTCTCCTTTTTTGTCCCCAGTACTCAGTTGTGGCCTGGACTTAGTGGTTCCTACCCCTTAGTTAAGGAGGTGGGCCTTTAGTCTTGGGCGGGTCTAGGGTCACCTGTCCCCGTACTTCAAACAGTAAACACCTTCCAATTTCTGAGGAAACAGAGGAAGAAAGTGTTCTATAGACAGTCTTCTTCACTACCTAACCCTCCTTTATCCACAGAGTAGGTCTATCATGTGGACTGATTGAGGCAGGAATCCTGTGGAAAAAAATCACTGGTGGTCATGTAATTAAGGACTATCATAATGCATATGTAGAAGGGGTCCAAATTAAGGTTGTACAGATAGCCTAAATTGTGGCATTTCCTAAATTTTGAGTGCTTGATTTTGTGACCATTGTGTTCATTTATAACAGTTTTTGGTGTGTGATTTCTTAGGGTTCTTTAAAAAACAACAACAACACAACTTAAACAAACTCCATCATATAGCATCATACTAACATCCACATGGGTCATCAACAGGGCTGAAACCCTTAGATCCACTGTACAGACCTCTGCCACTTCAGCTATCAGAGAACCTAATGCACTTGGCTGACATCCTCTTTGTAACCCAGCACTCTGCTAGTGAGTTTCACTGATATTTGCTTACAGCACAGGACTGGTGAGACTTAGGAATCATGAGTTCCCTTCCAAACTCTGCAGATGAGTGTGATCGAGTGGACACAGACCCTCTTGCCCATTCTTCCCAAACTTAACCCCTTCTGTCCTGCCCCTTCTAACCTATCTTACTTCCAGTTCTCTCTCTTCCTTACACCAGGATCCTCGTCCCAGTCCCATTCTCCTTGCCTAACCACTCCTAATCACCAATTCTCAGGCTTCTCATCTGAGTGCCAGCTTCCTTCCTCGATCAGTCTCAGTTTCCATATAGGATGGTCTGTGCACAAGTCATGCCAATACTGTATACAGGCTGATGTAGAAAGCCATTAGACAGGACAGGGAAAGTTTAGGCTGAAGGTTAGGGTTATAGATATGCCATTTACACAGACCAATGTTCCCAACATCCTGCAGAAGTGGTGCAGAGGGGTCATGGTTGATGATTGGTTGGGATGTGGATTCCACTTTCCCAAGACCCTTCTCATGCCATCCTCTTAGAGACAACTTTATACAGATGGAGTGGATTTAATCCTTAGTATTACTTCTATAAAAAGGTAGAAATTAGTCCTTTTAAACAAACAAACAAACAAACAAACAAACAAACAAACAAACCAACAAACAAACCTGGACTTAATAGATAAATTGAAAAAATACAGTAGTATATTTGTTTTCAACATTGTTGCATCAGTCATTTCAATTGTTAATATTTAGTGTTAATTTCAATGAATATTTATGTATACTTTTTGTTTTAATTATGTATTTTAGGAATTATAATTGTCAAGTTCTTTCATATTTCAGATTTCCCCCCACACACTGCCAATGTAAATAGCAGCTTTGCTCTACTATACTATATTTTTAATGTAACAATTTAGGAGACATTATTTTATGGTGGCAACATTATGTGCTGACATAAATGTGAGAATTTGTTTTGTCTTCTCTGGGGTTTATTTTTTCCCCGTCTTTCTTTATCTGACATTGTTTACTTTACTTTAGGAGCTTTTCTTTACTTTAGGGCTTTAGTGAACAAATTATAGCCTTGATCCTGCAGTCTGATTCTGCAGTCTTGGCCTCTTCACCCACACAGAGCCTTAGGCTAGGTCTACATTACAGCGGACTTCCGACCTAAGATACGCAACTTCAGCTACGTGAATACCGTAGCTGAAGTTGCGTATTTTAGGTCGGCTTACCTGGCGGTGAGGACGCGGGAAAGTCGACCGCTGCCGCGCTGCCGCCGACTCCGCTACCGCCTCTTGTCGAGGTGGAGTTCCGGAGTCGACAGTAGAGCCATCAGGGATCGATTTTACCGCGTCCTCACGAGACGCGGTAAGTCGATCCCCGATAAACCGATTGCTACCCGCCAGATCGGCGGGTAGTGAAGACGTAGCCTTAGTGTCTGCAATGGGGCTCCATCTACATGGAACTGCATTGAAGCTAACAGTATTACACCTGTGTAAGCAGAAGGGTCCACCCACATAGGTTGGCTTGGAAGAACAGGGTTCATAAACAGCAATAAGATTTTTCGACTTTCTCACTTAAAAAACAAAAAAAAAAAGTATATTGAGGTCAACCAATACATTTAAAAAAATGAATAAAATAAATAATAAAAACCCTGCTTTTGTATGGTTTTTTCTGGCTTAAAAATTCTGTATTTAGAAGGCTAAATATCCTGTTTTTGACCAACAAGGTTTCCTCTTCTTGTGGCCCTTCATTTTCTCACAGTCCAACGACCAACTTTGAAAAGGAAACCAGAGAAAATTAACAATTTACCAGTTCAGTGTTCTGTATCTGAATTGTAGAACAGCAGATGCTGAAGATAAAAGAATTTCAAAGTCAAATTTAGGAGTAAAGGTTAAAGTGGCCAACAGCAGGGAAAGCTTTCCTTGTAACCCAATGCCAAAAGTTGACTGCTGCATCAATAGGCACCTCCTGGGGGCATGATTCCATATAAACTCATGAATTATAATTCAAGTTACTACTGTTCCTCAGTAACTGTTGCGTGTATTTAATAAATAAATAAATAAATAAATAAAAACCCTAAGCTGGCATTTGGACCTTAAAAGTCAATACTTTATAGCCTCACTCGGGCTTCTTGATACTTTATTTTCCTCCATGTTTTGATGTCTACAAATAAAATTGTGACCTCAATATGGGCCTAATCCTCAAATGGCATAAATCGCCAGTGTTCCACTGACTTCATTTTATACCCAGTGAGGATCTGTCACAATATGTCTTTTTATATCAAATATTACAACCAGCTGCAATCAGATAACTGTGACAAAACAAAAACAAAGAAACAAAATATCATGATAGTATATGCCGTGAAATACTTACCAAAAACTTGGAGGAATGTCTGCTTTTTATCATTTCCTGCTTTATTTTTTGCTCCACAAACATAAGGACCTGCATCAATATTTTTGATATCTCTGATTGTTAATTCTGTATTGCTTCCTCTCAAAATATATTTTTCACTTTCATCAATAAGTTTGCCATTCCTGAAGAATAAAAGGGATTTATAATCACACAGTGTATCTCATAATCTGATTTAGAAGTGTCAGTCACTTCAGTGATTTCCACTGGTGGATGTGACTATTTTGCTACCTTAAAAAGCACACGAAAAAATGTGCGGTAGAGATTGGCATTATATTTGGAAAGCAGTTGATTTCACTCTGATGTAAATTGTTTGAGTGGGTAATTGCGTGTCTTTATAAATGTGTCCAAATTCTGGGCATAAGGGAATCATTCTGGATTGTATCTTGATGCTCAGAACTCCTTGTCATATGATTTTTATTACTATGTTCTAAAATACAAATTAATTAGAAACAATATAACATTTTCATTCCAATAAGTTTTAACATTGATTTAATGACACTACTATTAACATTAGTGCAATAATGTATAAAAATGGTTTCATACTACTTACACATATAGTACACTGGCACATAAACAACTTGTGTCAGTTTTTTCTTCTCAGCTGTTGTTGGCTAGCCACACATCAGTAAACAAACAAACCTCCAGTCACTGGGATATGTGCAGTGCAGATGGTTTAGAAATAATGAAATCTGTGAATACTCTGATGGTTGATCAGAACTTGAGCAACTCACTTCAGCACCCTGGCATATACTCAATTATATTGTGCACTTTTTCTACTAGAATGTAATCCTAACATTATTTCTCTTCAATTTGCCATATTTGCTCTAAGTTTCCCTTTGACCTGTTTTTCTGTTGCTCAGTCATGCACCTTCTTCACATAATAAATAAATAAAAGTTGCCTGATTGTCACAAGTGCTGAGCTCTCTCTGACTTCAATGGAAGTTGGGGGACCAAATCAGGCCAATTTTTTTTAGGTGCCTACGTATAATTTAGGAGCCCAGTTTTAGGCACCCAAGTTTAAAAAGTGGGGCCATGGTGATTTTTAGTTTCTTTCTGATCATTTTATGGTGATAGTCATATTTATTAAAACAAATACTAAAATAATTCAAAATATATCTTATTTTAAGCAAGAATATAGATCCTTTCTTTGGAAGCTTAATTTTATGCTAGCAGCAGTACATTGGTAGGGTTATCTTTATGTCTTGTATTTTAATAACAAAGTTAAAACTCACTCAAATTTTAATCCATTGATGCTTCCATTTTATAAACATGATGGTGGCATTCATTCATCTCTTTTTCAATGTGAGTTACTTTATTTGTTTAGCAAATTATAGCAGACTTAATTCTGCACTCAGATATTTCCATACAATTTCCAGTGATTTCAGTAGGAGATGCAAGGGAGATCTGAGGTAAAAAATGATTCCAAAATGTCTCTTGTCACGAACATTTCCTACAGCCAGGATGATTTGAAAGTAGAAACTGGGACTTCCAGGGAATGGGACAGACTTAAATTGATACTGATATTAGAGAACAAGCAGATACGCGTTACACATTAGAAGATTATTTCCTTTGTCGGTTAATTCTAAATCCTGTCACTAAAGAGAAAGAGCTTGATCCTGCAATTAGTTGCATTGATTTCAATGAGATTACTCACATGAGTATGGCTTGCAGGATCGTAACACACTTATCTTACAAATTTAGGAAGTTTAATTCTGCTGGAATTCTTCACTCACTTATTCTGGTTTTATACTAGTGTAACTCCATCAACTTCAGTGGAGTTACCCTAGATTTACACCTGTGGGACAGAGGAATCAGTCCTTCATAGCAATGAAATTTTAACTAGGTATATCACATATTAAATAAAGCAACAACTAATCTTTGCTTGTCTTTCTTCTTCTATACCTCCCAAGACTAATATGTAAGTGATCTAATGGATCAGTATGGGAACACAGACACATTAGCTCAATTCCCTTAATTATGCGTAATACAATCCAAAATGCTACTGGAATTTAAAATAATGTTTACTTATACTCCCATATGAACACAGATAAAACAACTGGCATAGACAGATGATCAATAAGTTAAAACTCTATCGTATAAATACCGTACAAAGGAGGATTTGTGGGAAACTGAAAAGAAAATCCCAGGGGACAAATTGAAAAATGAATTTTTTACTCAGTTGATATCTGGCTCTATTCAACTGTAAGGAAGAAAAGATTATACCACAATATACCTAAATCTTTTAGTCCTTACCGAAGAAAAATTTCCACTGATGTCAATGAGAGTTTTGGCTGTGTCAGGATTAGGTCATAAAAAATATTACAAAGAATTTTGTGAGATATAAGTAATTTAAAACCATGTAAAGCAACGAAACAGGACTAACACAATACTTCAGTAAATCAAAACTCATTATTTCATTTGAATGGTTGTCATATGAAATTCCTATTGTTTTCAAGCGAGTATTACTCATTCAACAGCTGTTTTTTGGGGGGGGAAATCCATATAAAATCGATACTAAAGTTTACATAAAATGTGAACCCATTACTCACAGAAGTTAGTGGGGATTGAGTAATGGGTTCCTGATCTGGCCCTGTATGGAGAGAGAGTCCCGATGAACCATATTTACTGATAGTAATACAATGTAGATAGAGTATTATTGGGAAACCCCACTGGAATTTGTGTAACGGAGGATGCTCAGTGCCTAGTCTCCCAGGATTTTCCCCAGAAAATCCCTGAAAATCCAGTACACTTCTATAGGATACTTAATTGTGCAGGTTATCAGTGAAAAAAGTTATATTTATTATTACTTCAGTTTGTGGAATCAGAAGTACTGCGTCCAGTATTGTAAAAAAACTATTTCTTCCTTAGTGACTGATACCCTAGCACAGGGGTCGGCAACCTTTCAGAAGTGGTGTGCCGAGTCTTCATTTATACACTCTAATTTAAGGCTTCGCGTGCCAGTAATACTTTTTAACGTTTTTTAGAAGGTCTCTCTATAAGTCTATATATTATATAACCAAACTACTGTTATATGTAAAGTAAGCAAGGTTTTTAAAATGTTTCAGAAGCTTTATTTAAAATTAAATTAAAATGCAGATCTTATCTGTTTAGTGTGATCCTTGCCCTTGCTTTTCCTTGCTGAGTTTTCCAATGTCTGGCACGTGTTTGGATACTTTAAGCTGTACACAGGCTTCTGAGTGATCAGTTGTTAACCGGCTGGCAGGAAGTCAGCGGCTGGAACCCCAGATCGGCAGCTGAGGTGAGTGGAGCTGGCGGCTGAGCAGGGTCAGAGGCCTGGACCCTTCTGGCAGGGGCCTGCACTGGAACTCCAACCGGAAGCAATGTGAGTGGGGCTGCGGCGGGGACCCTGGCTGGCAAGGGGGCAGCAGACGGAACCCGAGAGCAGCGACTGATCGGCTCAGCCCGCCGCTGCTCTGGGCTTCCGGCCACCAGCTCCTGCCAGCCGGGGTCTCAGCCCGCTGCCAGCCTGGGGTTCCTTCACCCCGGCCAGCAGCGGGTGCTGAGTGGGACCGGCGGTGGGATCCCGCCTGGCAGGAGCCGGCAGCGGAAACCCCAGAGCGGCGGCGGGCTGAGCAGCTCAGCCCACCGCCGCGTGCCATCAAAAATCGGCTCGCGTGCCACCTTTGGCACATGTGCCGTAGGTTGCCGACCCTTGCCCTAGCATGTAGCATAAGTGTGTAGATATCTTGGCATAAACGCATATCTTCTATTCCTTTTGGCATAAGTGGTAAATAAATTACAATAATAGTACTCTGCATATTTCTAGCACTTTCCACCTTAAGATCTCTATGTGCTTTTTCTATAGTACCCATTTTACAGATAAGTAAACTGAGGCACAGAGAGGATAAGAGACTTGCCCAAGGACACAGAACTCAATGGCATAGTTGGAAACAGAATGCAAAGTCATGGCTCCCAAACAATAGATCACATTTCTTCTCATAGTCTACTTTAAAATCTAACACAATCAAACTCTAGTGGGGGAGTGAAGATGAATCTAAATAGGATTTTTCTGATAGCTTTGGAAAACAAAGGCCAAAATAGCATTGTTTCACCAATAACATAAATAGCATACAATACTAAACAAGACAAAATAACATTCTAACCCCACACCTGAACAAAAGCTCTGTGTAGCTCAAAGCTTGTCTCTTTCACCAGCAGAATTTGATTCAATAAAATATATTACCTCACCCACCATATCTCTACAATGTCAATGAAGCAGTAATGCTGAGGAAACACTTTGAATTAGGTTCCAAATATAGACCTATAGATCAATCTCTTGTAAAAGCATCCTCATATTGGCTACAAGTGGCAAGATTTTGGTGGAGTAAACTTTAAAATTAACTTATCAGAAATAATAAGAAAGGTAAATATTTTGATCTGTTTTTTTTCCTCAAATCTGCTCTATTAATTACAGAAGAAACAAAATCTGAATGGATTTTTTTGGTTCACTGGCAAAAATAAATAAAATAAAATAATTTGGGGTCAACCTGAAAACATTTTTTAATTTTTTTTGGCTAATTGAAGTGATAAAAAATCAGTGTTTTGTTTAATCCAAAACAAAAAGGTTAATTTTTATTTTAAACATTTGTTCACATTTTTATTTAATAAAAATAAAATTAAATATTTCAAAACAAAAAGTTGATTTGAATCGAGAAATCAAAATATTTCATTCTGAAAATGTGAAAATGAAGTGTTTTGATTTTTTCACATATTTTTTAAACATTTTTTTTCAACCAAAATAATGTGGGTAAATCAATATGAATTTATTATCTATTTTGGTCATCAATCTGGATTTTTTCTGTTGAAAAAAATAATTCAGCTGAAAATTTTGCCCAGCTCTACTTAAAACACATCTTGAGATGTCTCTGAGATGAGCATGAGAGCAAGCAGAAATATATCATCAGATTTTGAGCTACATCAGTTCAAAACCAAGGTGTGAATGATTAGTCAATGGAAGTGAAATCAGAAATGAAATTGGCTGCATGCATTTGGAATAACACATGGAATCAAGTTTTCTCCATCCAATGAGGAAACAGTTGAAGTCCCACCGTCTATTATTATTACTTATTTGTATTTCAGTAGCATCTATGTGCTGTCACCAACAGGGCCGGCTCTGGCTTTTTTGCCGCCCCAAGCAAAACAAAAACAAAAACAAAAACGTGCGGGGCGGCCGGAGCCAGGGTGAAGGGGGACTCCCTGCGCTGCAGACGTGCCCCAGGCAACGGAGTGCGCGCCCCGGCTAGTGAGAGGGAGCGGAGAGTAGGGGAGAGAGAGAAGAGGGGCGGCCAGGGCTTCCTTCAGCCGAGACGCTTGCCACGCGGCCCCTCCCGCTGCGCCGCCTGCCGGTAGGGCTCTGCGCCACTCTGGTCGGTGAGGAGGGAAGGACGTGGGCTTTTTTGCCGCCCCAAGCAAAACAAAAACAAAAACAAAAACCTGCAGGGCGGCCGGAGCGGCGAAGCAAAAAAAAAAAAAAAGGATTGGAGGGAAACCGCCCCTTAGAATCTGCCGCCCCAAGCACGAGCTTGCTCGGCTGGTGCCTGGAGGCGGCCCTGGTCACCAAGATCAAGCACCCATTGTAGCAGGCATTGTAATAACACATAATCAAAGACAGTCCTGCTCCCCCTGAGAGCTTATATTGTAAATAGACAAAACAAATGGAGGGCAGGAGGAGAAACAGAGAAGTGAATTGATTTCCCTAAGGTCTCATAGCACAGGTCAGAGGCAGAGCTAGGAATAAAACCCAAGTCCACTGGCTCACAAGCGTCTACCACATTCCCTAGACCACACAGTGGCTCAGGGCCTGAGTAAGGCTTTATCGACTAGAGCAGGGGTCGGCAACGTTTGGCACGTGGCTAGCCAGGGTAAGCACCCTGGCAGGTCGGGCCAGTTTATTTACCTGCTGACGCAGCAGGTTCGGCCGATCGCAGCCCCCACTGGCCGCGGTTCGCCGTCCCGGGCCAATGGGGGCGGCG